TTCAGGACCAGCCTGGGCAACATTGCACGACCCTGTCTTCAGAAAGAAAAGCCAGGTGCCAGTGGCTCACGCACGTAATCTTAGCTACTCAGGAGGCAGAAATCAGGACGATCCAGGTTCAAAGCCAGCCTGGGCAAATAGTTCTCAAGGCCTTATCTTTTTCCAAGATTATGGATTTCAAGCAGGGTGTGGTGGTGCACACCTGTAGTTCCAGCACTCAGGAGGTTGAGGCAGGATTGCAAGTTTAGGGCTAGTCTGGGCTGCCTAATGAGACCTTGTCTCAAAAAAAAAAAAAAAAGTTCAAAGTATTTGGTGTTGATTAATGTTGATTAATGTACTTGGTCATGCTATAGTAAGTAAATACAAAAACTAAAAGAACTTCTGGGCGCTGGTGGCTCATGCCTGTAATCCAAGCCACTTAGGCGGCAGAGATCAGGAGGGTCAAGGTTTGAAGCCAGGCCACGCAAATGGTTTTCAAGGCCCTATCTCAAAAACACCCAACACAAAAAAGGGCTCGAGGAGTGGCTCAAGTGGTAGAGCGCCTGCAAACCCCAGTACCACAAATCAAGAAACTAAAAGATCTAGTAATTCCAATTAACTTTTTATGTTAATACTAGAAAAAGATACTATGTGGTTCTTATTTTTTTGGTGGTTTGCTGTGGAGTTTGGACTCAGCTTCGAAATTGCTAGGCAGGCACTCTATCACTTAAGCCATATCTCCAGGCTTGTCATTCCGGTTTGGTTTGGTTTGGTTTTTTGGTGGGATTGGATTTGAACTCAGAGCTTCATGCTTGCAAAGCAGGCCCTTTACCGCTTTAGCCACACGTCCAGTCCTGTAGTTCTGATTAAATATAAGTTCTGTTTCATGAAACAAACTTTACTTTTTTTTTCTTTACTTTTATTGAAATACAAAGTTTCATATTTGATCTTTCAACAAGAACATAACCAGAATAAGAAATATATCAGGCCGGGAGTTGGTGGCACACACCTGTAATCCTAACTACTCAGGGGGCAGAGATCAGGTGAATCGAGGTTTGAAGCCGGCCCGAACAAATAGTTCTCTTTTTTTTTTTCCCTTTTTTCAGTACTGGGGTTTGAGCTCAGGACCTAAACCTTGAGCCGCTCTACCAACCCTTTTTTGATATGGGCTTTTTTGAGGTAGGGTCTCCTGAACTATTTGCCAGGGCTGGCTTTGAACCACCATCCTCCTGATCTCTGCCTCCTGAGTAGCTCGGATTGCAGGTATGAGCCACTGGTGCTTGGCAAGGCAGATGGTCTTACTGCTTGAGCTACTCCACCAGCCCAGCCCATTTGATTTTAATGCCTGTGCCCTGTGGAAGCTTCAGAGCCTTTAATCAGCAAATGGTCAGTGAGCGCTTCCCACCTACAACAGGGCTTCTCAACCTTGTACCATTGGGATCGGGTAGTTCTGTACTGCAGGAAGTTGTCCTGAGCAATGTAGAACTTTTTCCTGGCTTTTGCAGTATGACACACAAAACGTCTCCAGACATTGCTAAATGTCCCCTGGTGGACAAAGCTGCCCTTAGTTTACAAACTGTGATTTGTGCTGGATTTCATATTACTGTCAGGTGATAGTCTCTGTAATTTTCCATTGAATTCTCACTATTTGGCTTTGGAACCACACTTGTCTCAGTCTGTGTCACCCGGTACTGATGACTTTCAGATGTGTATCTTCAGCCTTGGTTCCCCTCCAGATTTCCAGCTGTCTGCATCTTGCAGTTGGTTCAAAATCAGACTGCCTCTCTCCACGCCTCAGGCTGCTTCTTATCCTTTGTCCTCGGTCTCCTAGCTCATCCTGGGCTTTCCCATGAAGTTCACTTGCTAAATCTTTCGAAGTTCAGGCTTCTTCCTTTCTTCCCCAATGCCACCTCCCTAGTTTGAGTGAGAATTCATCTCACCTGGCTTGCTGCAGCAGCCTTTAACTCTACCTGTAAGGTGCCCTTTCTGAGCAGGTGCAATCATCCAACTCCCCTGACACCTGGAGTCCTTACAGTCCGACCCTGCCTGCCTCTCCAGCCTCTTCCTACAGTTCCTTGTACTTAGGCTTAGATGGTACCAACCTACCTGCAGGCTCCTCAGCCCATCACCTTGCCCGGCACCTCATTCCTTAGACTGCAGTTCAACTCTCTTTCTTCTTCTGGCCTGTCCACACAGGGCATTCGCTCCCTTCTTTCCCTGGCTTCTTTCCCTGGAGAGACCTGGGTCTTCACCATTGTCTCCCTCTGGTCTCCCACTTCCCCCAGTTTTGTTTTTTAATTCAGCAAACGATCTGCAGAGAGCCAACTAGGTCATAGGTGCTAGAAGTAGAATTAAGACGAACAAGACAGGATCTTTTGCTTGGCCATACAAGGCCTGGGAGTATGCTACAAATGAAGAGAGAGAGAAAAGAGGAGAGGCAAGGGAAGGGAGGAAAAAAAGGAAGAAGAAAGAATCTTTCCTTGAAGAATTCACATCACAGTAGCTGGCCATGGTGGTGCACACCTGTAAATCCAGCACCAGGGAAGCTGAGGCAGGAGGATCTAAAGATGGAAAGTTCGAGGCCAACCTGGGCTGCATAGTGAGGCCATGTCCCAAAAAACTTAAAAGCACAACACATCACATCTAGTGTGAGATGAGAGTATAAGTAAAGTTTAATACAGAGAGAGAGAAGCAAGTGTGAGTCCTAACATGGATATTAAAAGTGAATTGTGCTTGCATTTTGGGAAAACACACTCCTTACCCTTAAACAGGTTTTTTTTTTGGTCAGTACTGAGGTTTGAACTCAGGGCCTACACCTTCAACCACTCCACCAGCCCTTTTTTGTGATTTTTTTTCAAGATAGGATAGGGTTTTGCAAACTATTTGCCTGGGCTGGCTTCGAACTGCTATCCTCCTGATCTCTGCCACCTGAGTAGCTAGGATTGTAGGCATGAGCCACCGGCACCCAACAAATGATCTTTTTTTTTTTTTTTTTCCCCCACAGGGGTAGGGAACAACAATACTGGGGCTTGAACTCAGGGCTTCATGCTTGCTAGGGAGGCACTCTACCACTTGAACCACTCCATCAGTCCTCAGACTTCTTAAAAGTACTGAAAAGATACTGTTTTCACCCTAGCCTTCAAAACCTTTACTGTATTTAGAAGGTTTCTGTTTGGCTCTTTTTTTCTTTTTTTTTTTGGTGGAACTGGGGTTTGAACTCAGGTTTTCCAACTGCAAAGCAGAAGTCTACTGCTTGAGCCACACCTCCAGTCCCTTTTGTTCTGATTACTTTGCAGTACTAGGGTTTGAACTCAGGGTCTCACACTTCCTAGGCAAGGTGCTCTACCACTTAAGCCATTCTGTCAGCTGCTTTGGTTATTTTGGAGATGGGATCTTATGAACCATTTGCTCAGGCTAGCTTCAAACCACGATTCATCCCAATCTCAGCCTCTTAAGTAGCTAAGATTACAAGGGTGAGCTGCTGGTGCACAACTTTTTGCTGTTTTGAGAGAGGGTCGTGCTCTGTAGTCCAGGCTCTGGCTTCCAACTCAAGTTGTGACCTTCCTGCCTCCATCTCCTGCATTCTGGCTGTTTGGTTTTTTAAAATGACTTTGAAGCAAGGTGTTGTGACACAAATCTATAGTCCCAGCTACTTGGGAGGCTGAGGTGGGTGGGTCTCTTGGACCTAGGAATTAGAGGCCAGCCTGGGCCACATAGTGAGATCACACCTCAAAAAACAAAAAAAGAATAATAATAAAAAAATAGCTTCTGCTTTGTTTTGCTAATGATGTCAGTTGACATCAGCTCCCTCACTTTGCTCAGGGCTTGAACCTGTGCCTGTGTGTGTTGGTGGTTTGGAATGTTTTCGCTGGTCAAGATCTGTACTACCAGCTCTTTGTTATCTATTCTGTCCTTCCAGAGGAGATAATGGTGTAGGAGGGCCTGGCTCCTGATGGGTGAGCCGAAGTCTCTAACTCATCAGTGCATGTGTTCTTCGCTGTATTCCTACATCAGTACATAATTTTAAAAAGCTACAATCATTTATGTAAAGTCTGTGCACTGGTGAGATGTTAGTCTTTTTATGAAATCAGTAATAATAATCTTAGGTGAGTATGGCCTACTTTTCTTAACACTTCATATGTGTTTGGGGTGGCCCCTTTGGTGGTGACCATTCTGAGAGTGAAGGACCTGCCAAGGACCTGTGGGCAAGAACACATAGTATATGTGAGGTTCTGTTTTCTTTTGTAGGATCAAAAATGAATAGAAGCAATTGGCAGAGTAGGAGAAGACGAAGAAGAAACCTCCAGCAGAACCCTTGGTTTGAACACTGCAATTCTAGCGAGAGGCAAGTGTGCCTGGACTGGGGAGCTGGCTCTGGCCAGAGACGGTTGGCATTATCAGCTCGGCATGTCTCACACACTCGTGTGCTGTGTTACGTGCTGTGTCCTCACGATGAGTCTGAGGTGGGGCATGAGGAGACAGCTGCCGCCAGCAGCCCACTGCTCTGTGAGTGGTGGAGTATGGCCACACTGTTTTCTTTTCAGAGTGGCTATGGCTTCTGGCCAGAGTATCAGCCGTAAGGCTGCAGGTAGATGTTACCTGACACAACTGGAGACCTGTGTCTCAGAATGGCAAAGAACATATTTGAAAACCATATTCAGCCTAAGTCCTAAAAGGGCTTGATGGCACAGGCCTGTAATCCCAGCACTCAAGAGGCCAAGGCAGGAAGATCATGAGTTTGAGGCCAGTCTGGACTACAGGTGAAACCCTGTCTTAAAAAATCAAAACCATAGACTGGCAGAGTGGCTCAAACAGGAAGAGCACATTCTAGCAAGTATAGGCCCTGAATTCAAACCCCAGTGCCACAAAAAAAAAAAAAAGTATATGTGTAGTTTATGCATGTAAATGTAATATATAACATTTATATATGTATAAATCTTTACATATAAAATACTCTAAACATACACAAAATTATAAAGAATATTAAACACATGTACCCAATACCTGCTTTAGAAAATAAAACCTTCTAGACCGTATTTAGCTGAAGTCCCCAGTGTAAACATTTTCCACGTTTTGATTATTTTCCTTCATGAAGCAAGTACAAACAGTTCTGTCTCAGAACAAGGTACGCCCTTCGCCACCTGACTCCAGGAGAGGATCCCCAGGCCTCCTGGCCATGCAGAGTCTTCCCACAGCCCTCGGTTTCCCATGCTCCCTCTTCATCAAGGGGACATGTCTACCAAACTCAAATTCTTCCGCACTTCAGACATGCTTTTAAAGAAGGTATTCTTTGTTTGTTTGGTGGTACTGGGGTTTGAACTCTGGGCATCATGCTTGCTAGGCAAGTGCTCTACAACTTGGGCTATTCTGCCAGCCCCACACCTGCTTTTAAAGTGGACAAATTTCTAGTTATAGCTTCATAAGATAACAAATATCAAGATGATACTTTAGATTAAATTAACCCAGAGGGTAACAAAAGCCTATAAAGGTTGTAGAAAGAACAAGGGTTTTAGACCTAAGAGATCTGCTTTCCTGTGTGCAAATACTTCATCCCTCTGAGCCACTGTTTGTTGTATAAAAGAGGAGGGAACATGTGTAAAACCCTTAATAGGCTGCCTGGCCCTGTGTAGACCCTCAGCACATGGTAGGTCTCACTGGGTGTAAATCCTAGGCTTGACCCATATTATAGAAAGAACAGGACTGTACCCAGTGTTTGTATGTCTTAAATGAGAACCAGGATACTTTCCGGGCCCCAGCCCTTCTGCAGGAACATAACATGAAACAAAATGTGATCTGTGCAAGAGTCCCAGCACAGCTTTGGCAGCCTGCTTGGAAACCTGCTGGTCACAGCCACCTTCTGGGCTCCATGTGAAGAGAATGGAGAGGGAGTGCTTGGATTAGAAACATGGACATTTGTCCTGACATTTAATCCTTCTTCCACCTGCTGATCACAGATGAACTGCTTCAGGAAGTGTGAGCCAGAAAAGGGGAGTAAATAGTTTTCCCCGAAGCTGTGTATAGCACTGGTATGCACTGAAGAAAGAATGTGCTCTCATTCTCAGCCTAGTTTGTATTCCTAGTGTATTTAAGGGGTGGAGGTAGAGCTCTTGATTTTAAAGTAATTTTATCAGAATTCTAAAATAATACCTTACTTTGTCACTGTATCCTTCACCCTACAGTTGCCACAGAAACTGCTTGTGGCTTTACAAATCCAGTGTTGTAGCCACGGCTCTCTCCCATATTGCTGAGCAAGTTACCTCTGTTCCCTGAACCCCAGTTTCTCCATTTGTAAGGTTGGCTAGCCAGGTAAAATTTAAACTATTTAAAATTGGCTGCTACTGAACCCAATAAAGAATAAAATTCATTGGCCTTGTATCTGCTGTTGAACTGACAAATGAGCCCAGCCAGGGAAAATCTTATTGGCAAAGATTTCTGTTTTTCTTTTTATCTGGAAAAAGTCCCAAAGACCTCATAAAATGCTCCAGTGAGAAGATAAGTAAAAGGAATTACTGTGATATGGCCCTCATTTTGGTGTGTTAGTCGTAGGGGGTCAGTACTTAAGTAACCAGAAAGGTTAAGGTGAGGCTGCAGACCTGCTGGAAATAGGAACCCTCCTCCCCTCCACAGTCATAATGATTGGTAACACAAGCCCTTCTGTGCAAGTCACCACAAGTATGTGTCAACAGGTACACCATGGAGGTACCACAGAGCCTGCAGGATTCTGGCCATGGCAATGATGAGTCCCCATCAACCTCATCCAAAGGGACTGGGGATTCTTCTGTACCAGGTAAGGCAGTCTGCTGGGAAGAGGTCCTGGCTCTAACCCTGGGAGGACAAAACTTCATCCTGCCCCAACATCTGATAGTGTCTGTTCTGGATGGCCTTCCTCTTCAGCCAGGGCTCACATATGTCTCTTCACTTGCATGGAAGTCACCAGCCCATTCCTGACTGGGATGGAATGCTAAGAGCAAACTGAAACACAGAAGGAAGTCTTGGGTGTCAAGAATGATGATCCTGGGGCAGGTGGTCTCCCCTGGGACAGAATCCAGTCCAGGATGGTGACTGACCGTGCCAGCCCATTCTCAGTCTTCAGAAAAGACAGCAGCTGCAAGCAATGATGGACAGCCTACTGAGCTCCTTAGTAGGTGGGTCAGTTGACAATTTTAGGTTGGTGAGATTTTAAATTTTTTTATTTAAAGATCTACCAGGGTTTTACTTTGACCCTGAGAAGAACCGCTACTTCCGCTTGCTCCCTGGACATAACAACTGCAACCCCCTCACAAGGGAGGGCATCCGGTACAAGGAGATGGAGAGCAGGAGACTGCAGCTTCTGGAGGAAGAGGACAAGCAGAAGAAGGTGGGCCATATGCCGCCAACTACTGCCAGCCTCTACCTGCTGTTGAAAGCAGGGAACGAGTAGGCATCCTGTGACACGCACTGCATAGGGGCCCAGATTTTCCCTCACAGGGAAATAATGAGAAAAAGAGCAGGCAAAAACCTCCTGTTCCTTTTCACTGCGGTTCTAACATGTCGTCCTTCCCCAGGGTGATCTTGCGAAGCAGCGTAGTAGAATTGTAGTAACTGTTTTAAGTAGAAAGTTAGGGTGCTGGTTTGCTGGTCACTGGGAGTCTTCCAGGCAGGTTTAGGTGCTGGGATATCTTGTTGATTTGGGGGCACCAGAAGGGAAAATCCAGGTCTCGGGCCCACCCTGGGTGGATGGAGAATATGACACAGATCCAAGTGTTCAGTCTTGCTCTGCAGTAGCCAGCATGGCAGCTTCATCTCCCCAGGTGCACATTGACAGGGGTTTGGACAGAGGTGTGGCGCAGCTTCCCATCCTGCCAAGGAGAGGAGACTTGCAAGGGACACCATCAGACTTTCATGCACATAGTTTCTGCCCAGTTAGCACTGTTTTCTTCATTGAGTCCTGTGGAACTAAAACATCTCTGTTACCCTATAACACAAATAAATCTTCATTGAATCTCTGGTTTTGTTTTGTTTTTTAACTTAGAAAATAGCCAGAACGGGATTTAACGCATCTTCCTTCTTGCGAAAAAGCCAGCTGGGTTTTCTCAATGTCACCAGTTATTGCCGGTAAGAATGCCTCATTGTTGTTTTCCTTGTGAATGTTCTTTTATTGTTCCTTGTTTCTGTGGTCCAAGACTCTAGAGAGATCCTGTGCTGTTCTGTGAGGAGTCTTCCAAGTTGAAGGCTCCAGTCTGCCTTCTGACCCTTAAACTTACCCCTGAGAAACTGGTTCTTTGTAGATTCAGGGAGAGAGACACTCGCAGGAGGCTAGTGGGAGAGTAGTGAGGATTTAAGCAGAAATTACTCAAGGTGTTTACTCTGTGATCCTCATGGCAGCTTCGTTCCTTCAAGATTTCTGCCTCCTCTTTCCCTTCTGATGTGTTGTCACCAGAAATAGGACACTAAATGTACATGTGTGCACTAAATGTCATCAAAATATTTCTAATGTTTGAGGGTCAGGCATCGTGGCCCACACCTGTGATCCCAGCTACTTGGGAGGCAAAGGTAGGAGGTCAAGGCTCAAGGCTGGTCCAGACAAAAGCATGAGACCATGTCGGAAGGAGCAAATTAAAGCAAAAGGGTCTGGGAGCATGGCTCAAGTAGTCAAGCACTTGCCTAGCAAGTATGAGGCCCTTTCAGACCCAAGTACCACCAAAAAAAAAAAAAAACTTGTGATGTTTGATAGAATTCTAACTGAAACTAGTGAGATGGGTTGACAGTTGCCTCCCGTTTCCTGAAGAAGAGACTGAGTTCCAGAGTGGAATGATTTGCTCCAGGTGAAGAATCTATTTGAGCTTCTGAGCATCTAACCCCTGCATTCTGCTGCCTCCCACATGCATGCAAGGTGGCTAACTGGAACACAGTCCTCTCACCTTTCAGTATGGCCAGCCATGCAAGGGGTATCCATCCTGAGAGAGAAAGAAGGAAAGATCTCATCAGAAAGATTGCTATTTGTAGTGGAGAGGTGGCCATGCCTCAAAGGGGGAGGGGCAGTATGTCAGTGGCTGCACACCTGGCTCTGCCCTTTAGTCCGTCTGTCTGTCATGCTCATTCTCTTCATCACAAAAGAAACAGTTATAGAAATAAAGCCCTCTGGTTCTGACTTCCTTTGGTTCTGGGAAGGGCTACACAGGTCTTTGTTTTAGTTTTCCTCAGCCTTCTGAGATTATTGGGGATCTTCCTCAGCTCCTCTCCTGGGAAGAAATATGGAGATGGGGATGGGAAAAGGCAGAAGCCCTTTTTTGTTATTGTTTTTGTGAGATGGGTCCTTGCTGTGTTGCCTAGGCTGGCCTTGAACTCCTGAGCTCAAGTGATCCTCCCAAGCAGCTGGGACTACAGGTGTGTGCCACTGCTCCCAGCTTCCCCTAGTTGTCTTTATAGGTGTCCAGATACGGTGTCCATGCCCTCCCTGTACCTCTGTTTCCTTCTGTAGTTTAGCCCACGAGCTTCGCATGAGCTGCATGGAGAGGAAAAAGGTCCAGATTGAGAGCTCAGATCCCTCTGCTTTGGCAAGTGACCGTTTTAACCTCATTCTGGTGAGTGAGAAGGAGATATCCGTGAATGCCACCTCCTGGATGCTTCGAAATGAGGTCTTGCAAACTGCCTGGAGCTGACTTTGAACTGCAATCCTCCTCATATCTGCTTCTTGAGTAGTTAGGATTACAAGCATGAGCCACTGGCGCCTGGCTCCCTGGATGGCTCTTGGCTTAATGTTGGCAGTCATAAAGCCTGGCTGTGTATAAGCTGATGGCTGTGAAAGCAGGAAGTGTCCTCTTGCTTGTTTTTTGAGACAAGGTCTGGCTATGTAACCCAGACTCCCTTCAAACTCGAAGTCCTCTTCCTTTGGCTCCTGAGTAGTGGGATTGCAGGTGTACACCACTGCACCAGCTTTTGGTTTGATGATTTTAACCAACCTACTGGTATCCATGAGGAAGTGCAGAGATGGTGGGGCAGGCTGTGCTGTGACCATGTCTTACTCTACCCCCTCCAGCCCTGTCATTTGACATAGACCCTGGGTCTGGCCACACATTGACTAAGAGCCATTACAAAACAACTCCTCCCTGGCTGTGTTGTGTAAGGTACACAGTGGACCAGGAGCTTCTAACTCCTAAGCTGGGGCAGGGTTTGGAGGCTAAACCTGAACTCCAGGGTGCAGTTGCAGAGTATGACTTCTTGCTCACTGACCCTCACCATAGTGTGTGGGGGGAGGGGGGAGAGGCTGTAAGCTCCTCTGCTGCTACTTAGACCTGGGCTGGAAGCCCTAGCCAACTGCTAGAGCCCAGGGGTCAGGGAAATGTTGGCAGAGAGTTAAAGGGTCCCCTGCAAACGAAGGAGCCTCACTTTCATACGCCTTGTGAGAGTGAGGCCTAGCAAGCTCTGTCCTTCTTGGAGGCCTAGGGAAAACCTGAGGGGGTGAGAGGAGGACACAGAAGAAAGTGGTCTGCTGACAGGACTGGAGACCAAAGCTACAGATTGAGCTCTGAGGTTGATGGAGTCCTCTTGCCCCAGAGGACCTCCACAGCACAGCCCTTCCATGAAAGGGGTATTGGGAACAGGCCCAGATTCTCTGCTGTGTGTGCCTAGGGCTATAATTCGATCTGAATCAGAAGAATACTTTCTTGCGGTAGGCTCCCTTCCAGCGCCCCTTCCCTGGGTGGACTAGGTACGGATGGTGAAGGTCACTGGTATGCAGTCTGGTAGTTCACACACGCCGATAAGCACCCAAACCTCCCAGTTCATGCCATTAACACAGCTGTGGTAGGCCTTCCATATCATCACACAACCTCGTAAGGTGACTGTTTTTCAGATTGGACTCTGGTCGCTGGTAATGATTTGTCCAGGAACTTAACATTTCTTCCCAAGCAAACTTCAGAGTTGATGTGATTTCTCTAACATCCAAACCCTAGTGTAGGCATGTGGGTTGGGTATGTGTGCATAGTAATATAAATAGTTTTTTTTTTTTTTGTGGGAGAACTAGGGTTTGAACTCAGGTCCTACAACTTGAGCCTCTTCACTAGTCCTTTTTTTTGTGATTGTTTTTTTTTTCGAGATAGGGTCTTGCGAACTGTTGGCTCAGCTGACTTTGAACCATGATCCGTCTGATCTCTGCCTCCTGAGTAGCTAGGATTGCAGGCATGAGCCACTGGTGCCTGGCCTTTGTTTTGTTTTTGAGACAAGTTCTCACTATGTGGTCCATGCTGGCCTCAAACTCGCAATCCTCCTGCCTCAGACTCTTGAGTCCTGGGATTACAGGTACTGTGTTGTGTTAAAATCTTAAAACTAGCCTATGGCTAACGTATACTTACTGTTGCACTTTTTATTCAGTGCGTGTTTGTCCTTTTATCTTTTAATCCCCCCTCCCCCCAACACACACACACAAGCTACACACTCAGCCACTGCAGTGTTTTGTTTTGTTTTGTTCTTTTTCCTTGTTGGTAATCAGTGTAAGAGCACAGTTTTGTATTCTTTTTTTAACCCATTAGCAATTATAACTAGCATTTTCTATGTGTCTGTATGGTTTTCACAATGGCCACATAGTGTGTTCCTCTGGACCAGTGTTGGGATTCTTCCAAACCCAGCCTGCAGACCTCAGACTTCCTAGCCACGCCCTCTTGCTGCTGGCATCATGTCTTTTCCTGAAGTGGTACAACAGACACCTGTGAGCTTACTCAGAGATTGCTGCATCAAGCTGAGGAAAAAGGGCATGCCTACGCTGTCAGCTGGGGGAAATGCACAGAGTATGGGGACCAGGACAGATGGGCAGGTGGTCTTACACCTGGGTGGTCACTGGCAACCCACTTCTGTCTTCCAGGCGGATACCAATAGTGACCGGCTGTTCACAGTGAACGATGTCAAAATCGGAGGCTCTAAGTATGGCATCATCAACCTGCAAGGCCTAAAGACCCCCACATTCAAAGTGCGCATGCATGAAAACCTGTACTTCACCAACCGGAAGGTATATTGTTCAGCCTTAGAGCCCACTTTGCCTTTGGGTCAGGGTCCCTGCAGTAGTCGGCCAAATTCAGAGAGGAGGGAAGAACTTTGTGAAGAAGGCAGGGCACAAGACCTGATTTTTCAAAGGGACAAATGGATTGTTAGCTCCTAGAACCTCCAGGGGAAGAGGAAGGCCCCAGGAACTTCTTGTGTTGGAAGATGGTCAGGGCAGGTTCTAGACATCCTGCTTTCACTGGTTGTAAGGTTGTTCACTCCAGGAGGATCAAGAGTTGACCTACAAGGGCAGAGTTCCTAGGATGTAAGCCTGAGTGACTGTGGCCTGGATGGAGGAGTCCTTCCTTGTGCATCAGGATGATGCACAGCCTGTGAGCAATACTTAGGTTTAAATAAGTATAAGATGCTTGCTGTCCAGGAGTGACCTTTAAATTGCAGTGGGATGATGCTGCATCTGTAAGAAACTGTGACTTTCTGTTCAGTTGAGATATAACCATGGGTTGAAAATGGCTTCTGGGTAAAAGGAAGATACGGGACACCTTTGGAGTCATGTTTGTCCCATGTTTTTGTGGATAGAAAATTCAGCCCCAGCCCAGAGGGTATACCAATAGAAGGGCTGAGGCCTGGGGTTTACTTCCTTCCTGTCTTCCTTAGAGTCGAAAGTAGCCAGGCAGGGGCTCCCCACCTTCAGAATGCTTGTTCCAGCCCATTTTAAGTGGTGTGAGACCCAAAGAAGGAAGTCACATGCCTGTGTCCCTACAAGTAGTTCCATGAGAAAGCATTTTACCATTGCTCCTGAATTGACAGTCTACTCAATCTTTCCATCTTGCTGTGTGCTTCCTCGCCAGGTAAACTCTATGTGCTGGGCCTCCCTGAATCATTTGGATTCCCACATTCTGTATCCTTTGGTGGGTGAAGAGGTTTGAAAATTTTATTTACTTATATTGATTTTTGTGATACTGGCTTTTGAACTTGGAGCCTTGCATCGCTAGGCAAGCACTTTACTAGTTGAGCCCCCAGCCCAAGTGAAGAGGTTTGCTGGGCAGTCATGCCCTGATGTGAGCCCGTTTGCACCCATGTCTCAGTCCGTAGAAGAAAACTGCCTGGGCAAACAGCAAGGGTTCCCGTGGAAGCGATTGGGATCTAGTGATGACTGTTTTTAGGGATGATGTCGATGTCCCTGTGTGCCGGATACTGTTCTGGGACTTCAGGTGTAAATGGTGTAGGTTGGAACAGAATCCAGGTAGTCTGGCTCCAGAGTACTTTGGCAGAGGGATAAAAAAGTAGAAAGGAACAGCACAGCCTTAGGAAGGAACCCGCAGTTCTCCTGAGGTGAAGGAGGAAAGCAGTGGTTTCTAGGGGACAGGGGTTCTTCCATGGGACGCTGAAGGCAGGGGCAGATGACAGATAAGGGGGTTCCCTTGGCATTGGACATGGGTCTGTGGGCCCTAGGATCAAGGTGCCTTTTTTCTTTTTTTTTTTGGTGGGACTGGGGTTTGACCTCAGGACTTTGTGCTTACAAAGCAGGTGCTCTACTCTACCACTTGACCCACACCTCCAGTCCATTTTGCTCTAGTTATTTTTTAAGATGCAGGCCTTGTGAACCATTTGCCTGGTCTAGCCTCAAACCATGATCCTCCCGATTTCAGTCTCTCAAGTAGTTAGGATTATAGGTGTGAGCTACCACTGAGGTACCTTCTTTAGAGCACACTAGTATCGCCTTCCCAGAGAGCTGTCAAGATTTTTTTGCTAGGAACATGGTAGCATGCTGTCATGGTGCCTGAGCCTTCCTCTGGGAGCTCTTGATGGTACATAGGATTTGTCTGACCAAAGCCACATGTCTGTGACACTTGTCCTCAGTTCATTCCCATAATAAATGAGTTCTTGAATATCTGTGCTGTCATTGCTATTAATATCTACTGCATGAATTGTATGTGATTATCGTTAGTTGACCTTTGCATGTCAAATGGAAAAACTCTGCTTGCTGGCAGAGTTTTGGCTTCCATTGATCTTCAGCGAATGAAAGCTGAATCAGAATCTTTTGAGTGTTTAGTTTGGTTTCTTTTAGACCAGTCTCACTATTAGCCCAGGTTGACCTCAAACTCATGAAAAGAAAAAAACTCACAGTCTTTTGACTTGGTGGTACTGGGATTTCAACTTGGGGCCTTGTGCTTGCTTACTAGGCAGGTGTTCTATCACTTGAGCCACTCCCCCAGGCCTTTTTTGCTTTATTTCTCAGGTAGGATCTATTTACCCAGACTAGCCTTGAACCCTGATCCTCCTACCTAAGGCCTTCTGAGTAACTGGGATTACATTACAGGCATAGGCCACTGCAGACAGTTATTGGTTGAGATTGGGCCTCAAGAATTCCCTCCTGCTAGATTCTTCCCATTCTCAGCCCTCAGTTAGCTAGGATCACAGGTGTGAGCCATTGGTGCCCCATGCTCATTTCTGATTAAAAAGAGGTGTAGCATTTTCTCATGTTCTCTGTGGGCCAAGGTAACTGGGTTTAAAGAGTGGGCTTCCAGCATGAGCAGTGGCTTACCAGCTGCTGGCCATTCCAGGTCATCTTCAGGCTTTTTGTGCCTCTTGCCAAAGTTCATAGAACTTTCTCTTTTTTATTAGGGAAAAAAAATTATTTTTTTAGTTTGTTCAAAAAATTTGTTTTATTTTACTTATTTTTTTTATTATTGTGACAGAACTTTCTTCCTTTTTTAAATGAAAATGGCACTTTGTTCAGACCTGCATTCTGCATTTTTATTCCCAAGAGTGGTGGGTGGTTGGCCTGGGCTTTCTCCACTTACTGTGTTTTCGTTAATCTGTGGAGTAAACCTATAGTACTGACCCTCTAAATACTACATGGTGAAACCTGGGTGTCAGCCACAGTTACTAAAAGTGCCCATTGGTAAGGACTTCCTCCCATATCCTCACCCTTCAAACCCAGAAGCAAAAGGTTTATTTGGGAAGGAGTTGACCAGGTGCAGTGTCCTCATGGTTCAGCAGCCTCTCTGTACTGGAGCTATTTAGCATGGAGCTTACTTACCACCAAAGGCCATGTCACACATTCAGAGGTTGAGATGTTAACCTGGTTGCTTTGCAGGTGATCGTGCTTACAGTTATTCTGTGCTCATCAACCAGAGTCTGTTGGGCATGTACAATCCTTTTGCTAGGTGCTAGAGATGACAGTTTAACAGCTAATCAGTCCCTGAAGGCAGCTGGATGCAACAGGGACACATGGATTGCTCACATGTGTACCCACATGGGAAGGAGGGACAGGAGCTCCCAACCAAAGGGTTAGTTGAGAGGGGTTAGCCTGCTTGACATCACATAATGCATCTGACCAGGTAGGGCCTTCCAAGACTGAATTATCTGAGCTGTAAGATACTCCTGGAGGATTAGAATTTTTGAAGGCTCCTTTGGTAGCAGTGTGGGTCATAGACTGGCAAGGGTGAGACCTCAGGCCTGAAGGAGAAGGCATGAGCCTAAAAGGCTTAGGTTCTAGCCAGAGAATCTGGTAACGGGAGAAGAAGCCAGGGTAGAACTCCAAGAGTGAAAAGGTGGAGGCCAAGGAGTGTGCAGTTAGAAATGGGCCACTGGAACATTATGTATGATGGCATCAACATATGCCATCATACATTATGTATATATGCCTGGGAGACAATGGCAATTGGAAAGTTGGAGCCAGATGTTCTGTGTGGTACCTCTTACAGATGTTTTGAAAGTGGTACTTTTTATCATGTGTGGAAGTATTACAACATGACTTAGAAGAACTTGTACCTCTTTGAGAACAGCAGTTCTCTCCGGGTTGGGGAGAAGGAGAAGTGGTCTAGAGAGGGACTACAGTGAACTTTTAACTGTGTCTGTGTTTGTTTCCTTTAAGGAAGTCTAAAGTTAATTGTGGATGATGTAAATGTGTTAGTTCAGGAGGGTGGATATTATTCTGTCCTACTTTGGATGTTTTTCAATTTTTTGAAGAGTACTGATGACCATTCTTCTAGAGGAGAGCCTTGTACCTGACTGTCCTTAACAGCTTTTTCCAGGCTGTGTCTCATGGGACTTGCAGAGACGCCAGGCTGTGCCACTCTGCTCCCAGCATCGCTGTTCATCAGTAGTCAACCAGGTACAGGCTCCTTTCTCTTTGAAGGGAGCTTTGAAGGCATCTCTGCTGTGCTTCCTAGCTGTGGGAGGAAGGAAGGCTTTGAGAGGAGGGCTGGATGAGCCAGGTTAGAGCATAGGATGGGGACACCCTGCAGCCCTGGGGGAGGAGTCCTAGGCCTGTCACAGGATCAGTAGTAGGCACTCCTGTTTTTTAGTGTTTCCTGCTTTTTAATCTCTTTTGGGTTACTTTGCAGCCAGAGCATAGTTAAAGTGTATAGCCAGTGCGAGGCATCATAACATTGGTTTGGGCTTCCTGTACTGATCATTCAGGAGATACCTATTAAGCACCATTGTATGGCAGGCGCCAGGGATGCTTACATTCTCTCTGGCTAAAGGTAGTTTGACTATTCTTTCTTGGCAACATTCTGTCTCTTAGAGAATTAGGATCAGTGAGACAGGTCAGCTCTGAGCTCAGGCAGAGACCTGGCACGAAGCCCAGCACTGCTTTTTCTCCACTTGAGCAGATCACCCAACCTCTGGGAAGTGAAGGCGGTGCCTACCCCATTAGGTGCAGGCAGAATTACACAGGCCTATTGCCTAGCATTTCACCACTTTGTAGATGAGGAAACTGAGCCAAAGACAGAATCAGTTCTACCTTATTAAACTAACTGTTATTTTTTTGGTGGTACAAGGTTTGAGCCTCATGTTTGCTAGGCAGGTGCTCTATTACTTGAGCCACTCCACCAGCCCTTTTTTGTGTTGGGTATTTTTGAGATAGGGCTTCAAGAGCTATTTGTCCGGGCTGGCTTCAAACTATGAGCCTCCTGATCTCTGCCTCCTGAGTAGCTAGGATTATAGGCGTGAGCCACTGGCATCCCGTTATACCTCCCAAAGGCTATCAATATATGACTTTGAGGGGCACATCTAATCCAGGGTAGCCCCTCTGCACAGCTTCTCCCAGTGGCTTCCAAGGCTCAGTGGTCAGTGGCCTGGCAGCATACTTTCTGTTTCCCTCAGCAGGTACAGACCGGCCTGGCATGCTCTGTAGTTTCCGGATCCCTGGTGCCTGGTCCTGTGCCTGGTCCCTGAATATCCAATCAAATAACTGCTTCAGTACCGGTAAGCCATGGCTGCCTCCCCTAGGGCCCAGAATGGAGCCCTTCAAGTAGAGACCATCCCACAGTCTCTTTCTACAGACTGATGGTGACCCTTGTCTCACCAACCCATGTTTCCTTACCAGGTTTGTCTCGGCGGGTCCTTTTGACCAATGTGGTGACAGGACACCGGCAGTCGTATGGGACCAACAGTGACGTCTTGGCCCAGCAGTTTGCTGTCATGGTTGGTTGGATTGGGAAGGGCAGAAGAGGAAGTTGACTTAGAGTGCAAAGTTTGCTGGAGGGAAATAGGATTCCCCTTTGCAGCACCTAGTCCTCCTTCCTTTGCAGGGGAGAAAAGAGTGTTGGAAAGGATTGATGGGTTGCTTTAACCACCTTCCTCTTTAAATGACTTGTTAGCAGTTCTTGAGGATTTGGATTAGCCAGTGGGATGAATCATTTTTAAAATGTGTAAGTTAGGCTAGAGATGTAACTCAGTGGTAGGGTGCTTGCCTAGCATTTCATCCCCATCACCACAAAAAGTAAAATGTGTAAATTAAGCACTTACTGGCTTCATATATAACTTTCAAGTTGTACATTTTATACATTTAAAAATGGAAATTCCCCAGGAGAAGGTGGCTCCTGTAATCCTAGCTACTTGGGAGGCTGAGATCAAGAGGATCAAAGTTCGAGGCCAGCCCCGACAAATAATTTACAAGACCCCATCAGACCCTGTTTCCAAAATAACCAGAGCAACATGAACTGGAGGCATGGCTTAGGTGGTAGAGTGCCTGCTTTTCAAACACAAAGCCCTGAGTTCAAACCCCATTCCTACCCAAAAAAAAGCAAATTCTGGTCATTACTGTACATTACTGTATACCCTATAGAAAATGGAAGAGTCCACTGACCTGCTGTGGAACAGAGTTGACCACTCTGATGTTTATTTATTTATTTATTTATTTATTGCAATACTGGGGTTTGGACTCAGGGCCTACATCTTGAAGCACTCCACTTGCCCTTTTTTGTGATGGTTTTGTTCCCAGATAGGGTCTCATGAACTGTTTGCCCAGGCTAGATTTGAACTACGATCCTGATCTCTGCCTCCTGAGTAGCTAGGATTATTGTCATGGGTCCCCAGCACCCAGCTCCACTCTAAACTTTAGCCATCCCCTGTGATTAGGATCCTACACCTCCCCTGAACCTCTGCTTTCTCCTACTCCACACTTAATCATCCCAGCTCATCCCCAAACACCTTAGTGGAAACAGTGCCATCACTTGGATGCCTAAGGGGACACTGTGGCCACTCCAAGCACCTGCCAGCTCCCTATAAGGACACTGAGGGAGACTCATCTTCTGGAGGACACACCACTTGGGTACTGAGCAGTCCCTCCCTTCCTCCCTCCCTCCACAGACCCCTTTGCTGTTTAACGGTTGCCGTTCTGGGGAGATTTTTGCCATTGATCTTCGTTGTCCAAGTCAAGGCAAGGGCTGGAAGGCCACCAATCTGTTCCATGACTCAGCAGTGACCTCTGTGCAGATCCTCCAGGAAGAGCAGTACTTGATGGCATCAGACATGGCTGGAAAGGTAGGGAACACTGACGTCGTTAAGCCTCGGGAGTGTGGGACCCAGGCCCTGCCACACAGAGGGATTCCACAAAAGATCCTGTACTAAGATGCCAGGCAGACAAGTTGGAGACTAGGCAGGGAGCGCCTTCACTGCCCCTTAAGCTTAATGTGGCTGAGGCAGAGGGGAAAGGGTTTCTGGTTACTGATTTCGATGGACTAATGGCTTAGGAGTTGGAGGTGAAGATACAACCCGAAGAGGCTACTGAAGACTAGCTCACCCTGCCTGGCTTTATACCTCGTGTTCACCATGTGTCTATTGGACCCTCCCTAGTGACCCTTTGTGCTTCTCACAGATCAAGCTGTGGGACCTGAGGGCCACTAAGTGCATAAGGCAGTACGAAGGTCACGTGAATGAGTATGCCTACCTGCCCCTGCACGTGCACGAAGAAGAAGGAATTCTGGTGGCAGGTACACAGTGAACGGAGATTCCTTCCCCTAACATACTATCTCGTAGGCCCCAGAAACTTCAGCAGCAGAGGGAGAAGTTACTCAAAACCAGAATTGAATAATGGGGAGAGTAGAGGGGAACCGGGTGGATGTTAAGTAAGTGATGGTGTAAATAGCAGCTGGACAGCCCTGTGTCCCCACATCAGAGGGCAAGCATCACCTGGAAACAGTGAGGTACAGGATACAATGCTGGTGAATCTGGGCTAGGGGTACAAGTCCTCATCAAGTCATCTTTGTCCTAACTTGTCAGACTATTTGTGGGCCATAGTAAAATGTGGTAACGTACAGGTCAGTGTTTTTACATCTGAAACAGTAGGTCCTTGACCTTAACAAAGATATTCTCAGTCTTCATGAAGCCTCATGTTTGCTAATGTAGTTTCTACAGAAAGTACGATTCCCCGTGAAAGTTTTTGTGGTTAAAGAGTATTACTTTGTTGGAACTTTCTTAGACTTATTTACTGGTCTCATCAACACCAGGACCTATCTTCCTTTTTTTTTTTTTTTGGCAGTATTGGGGCTTGAACTCAGGGCTTTCACCTTGAGCCACTCCACCAAGCCTTATTTTTGTAAAGGGTTTTCAAGATAGGGTCTTGAGAACTATTTGCCCAGGCCAGCTTTGAACCGTGATCCTCCTGATTTCTGCCTCCTGAGTTGCTAGGATTACAGGCATGAGCCACTGGCGCCTGGCTCCTAGCTTCCTATTTTCCACCAGTTTTCATCTTAAAAGAGTGTGTGCTGGGTAGTAGAGAAGAGCTAAGCCTTCTTAAGAGGCAGGAGTGGGTGGTCCACTAGCTGCAAAGATGAACTGTGCATGTGGTAAGAATCACCAAGTGGTTGAATATGAAATAACATAAATGCTAAAGGCCCACCCTCATCCTGCTGGTCTCCAGGAGCAAGTATGTCTAGGCTGCCATAGTGTTCTGTGTCACATTGCTCAGAACTTGGGGCCCTGAAGACTTTAGCTGATCTTATGAACTTAAACCAGAAAAAGCTCAGGTCAGAGCTGTCATCTCTTTGTCACCAAGCTGTAATGAAGTTGAGAGGTCTCCCTAGTTAGTATTTCATAAAAAGGAAATGGGTTGCCCATCATAGACTTGGTAGTCTGGGTTCCCTCTCGAACAGCTCTTAACACCAAGAGATGCAGAAGACACCCCACCACCACCACCATGAGCCAGGACACCTGCAGATGCACCCGCAGTGACACACAGCCAACCAGTACATCTTGTTCCTTTGAATTCTTGCAACTAGTTGTGGTTCTAAAGCATGAAGATGACTCATGATTTTGATTTTTAAAAGTATACATTAGCAGTAGGAATACTTTCCACTAACAAAGGGTGCATTTTGGCTCACGTGAAAGCATGTGAAGCCCCTAGCAGTCCTGAGGAACCATGCCCCCAGACATCTAAGTTTTCATTTGCATTCTCTGACTGGGACTGACTTGCTGTGTCTTTCTTCTTTCTTAGTGGGCCAAGACTGCTACACAAGAATCTGGAGTCTCCACGATGCCCAGCTGCTCAGAACCATACCTTCCCCATACCCTGCCTCCAAGGCCGACATTCCCAGTGTGGCCTTCTCTTCTCGGCTTGGGGGCTTCCGGGGAGCCCCAGGGTTGCTCATGGCCGTCCGGCAGGACCTTTACTGTTTCTCCTACAGCTAATTCTTGAGGGGCCAGTGTAGAGGAGTGTGGTCACGGACAAAGACTGGCTTATTTCCATTTCTAAGGGGCATATGTAGATAGCTTCTTTCTGGCTGCTGGGTGCTAAGTTGCTGCAGTTGAACTGTAGGCTCAGAGAGCTTGAAAGTCCTTTTCATAAAAGGTACCTATTTCCTTTTCTTGTTGAATTCTTCAAAATAGTCTCCCCTCCTTTGTTAACAAAAAGACTTTTTTTCTAAGGCCTGGAGATTGGCCAAAACTAAAATAACCAAATCACAGCAACTGCTTTCACTGGGAAGACTCAGTGATGAGACTGGTGGGACAGCTTAAATGGTCAGTGCAGAGGACCCAAGGTGAGAAAAGCAGCTGGGGTAGGGAGGAAAAGGACGGTCCTGTCTTGAGTCTCTACAAAGTAATGATTTAGGGCTGGAGCTTGGAATCATTAAATTTGCCTTCTCAAACTTGGTAGCATAGATCTCTGGGATTCTTTTGTTAGCACATGTAGGCACTGGATCTTTTTAAATGCTAGTTTTTAAACATCCTTTAACATCCTTTTGAGGCACCTTCTAGAATGTAAGGGATAGCAGCTTGTTTCTGTTATGGTGACTTTAGAATGTCTGGTTTAAGGGCCCAGGGTCAAAGAAAATTACTTAGACGTTTTGTAATCTCAGTGTATGAGATGTTTATACAAAGTGTTAAAGGCCTGTCTTTCTACAATCAGTAAAGTAGAACCATGATGTGGCATGTTGCTTCTATTACTGATTAGAAGCTTTTGATGCTTGGACCACAAACCAGCTACCTAAAGCCTCGATCAGATCTTGGATGAGGGAAAAGCAGCTAGAACCAGCTTTAATAAACGCCATACTGCAGAGCTTCCAGCTATTCCTTTAGAGTAGCTTGTTCCTACGCTGCTTATGTCTGCCCCAGGAGGCTAACCTCTGGACTCCTGAGAGCACCCTGACTTGACCCTAAGTGGCCAGGGTGGTGCAGTCAATGGGACATACCAACAGGAAAGCTGAGGGTAAGGAGGTGAGATTGTTAGTCCCCTGGCTTCTGTCATGTTGGGCTGTGGTAGTTGTGACCAAAGGCCACAGCTTCTATTGGAACATAGCCTGTCTCTGGGTTCAGTTACTGTTCTGTTTGTCCCTATCACCTTACTGTTGCTAGCGCCAGGATGCTCCACCAATTAAATGCTTCATTTACCCACTTGAATGTTCCATCTGTTTCCTGGCCAACTTACAGAGACATCTTACAGAGAGAACCAAATCCAAAAAATTGGTGAGAATAACAGATCAATTACCTAATAGTTGAGTTACAGGTTATAATACTTTAATGTGTCCCATTTTACAAAGAACTTTCCCTATCTTATTTGATCCTTGTAACAACTAATAAAGGAGGCAGGGCAGAAGTAATATAAATTAATTAATAAAATTACTGGCATCACTTTATAGATAAACTAGAATTTAGACGGGGAAGGAGGTGTGGCTCAGTGATAATGTGTTTAACAAGGTCCTGGTTCCATTAAATAAAAGCTGTTGTAATACCAAAAAGGGTGTTCTCTTCAGAGGCTATGATCTGAGCAAAGGCACACACAATCATAAAGGATGTCCCATAGCCCAGGGGCCACAATGCAGGTGACTTGACTGGGAAATGCATTTAAGTTGGGTTAGTTGTAGAGTCTTCAGGATACTGAGGAAGTAGTCAGGGCTGGGGCCAGAGCCTTAGAGAGCAATTCGGGCTAGACTAAAGGTGTCATCAGGATTTGAGGACAGCTGAAGACACCGCAGTGGGTGAACTTACTCATCCAGTGTCGGTCCACCAAGCCCAGAAGGACATACAGTTATCTACAAACAGTAAAATGTCTGTGACAGCTTAAGTACAAGAAAAAGGCACCAGGTGCCTAACAAAGGTAGAGCCCAGATTATGCAGTCCACTAACATCAATAAGTAAACAAGCTACTGTGTGGCATTGTTTTCTCTCCCTGAATGATGGTAGTCGCTATGACTGAAAGTGCAAATACAGTTGCAAAATTACCATTGCATCAGGTTTTTGTTTTCTGTAACAGTTGGAACTCAGTTCTTGCATTATAGGCTAAACCAATTTGCTTAACCTCTAAGCCAGTTACTGTTGGCATAGGGAAGTATTACTATCCCTTGCCTGAACCTGAGGCAAATGGAAAAGATTAGACAGACAGCTAAGCCCTTCCGATAATAGAAACCTTGTCTTTTTTACTTTCCTCTTAAAGGGAAAGGTATTGGACTTATCTGGAAATCCAAAAAAAATTCACAGCCTATGAGCGGGAAGGAAAGCTTCAAGGGAGCAGCTCCACAATGCTTTGAAGGCTCACCAGCCAGCCCTGAGTCTCCCTTGCCAGGCAGCTCTGCATCCAGCTGTAAAACATGCATGACTGTCTGTCTACCTTCCAGGCTGCTGGAGAACCATAGCATGTAAAGCTGCTAGCATAGTACAGGGCAGTGTAACAGGTAACTAAGCATTGGTTCTCCTCACTCTTCTAGTTCCCAAATAAGCCAACCAGCTGCATTAACCCCAAGGGGTGTGTGTGGCTCCTACTGAGGCCCATTGCTTAGGATACCACTTTGCTCTCATCCACAAGCTGAGCCCTCTAGTCATAGATCATGTTCAACTATCTTTTCCACCTATATAGGCTAGTGTTTTACACAGTTAAATGTTTAAAGACTTTATGGCAGGCCTGGTGGCATACACCTGTAATCCCAGCATTAGGGTGGCTGAATGGGTGTGGGGAGTGATAATGACTCCCATGTGCTACTTATTGTCTATGAGGACAGTAATTACTCCTGTGGGGAGGGACTGGGAGTTCCTGGAGTACAGGTATGTTAATCTAGATGTTAGTTTTGTGATGTTCCAGTTGGAGAAAAATTAGGCTGAAATGTAGACAGTTAAGTTTTTTTAGACTTCTGCTTTTCTGCTCCTTTTCGCTTCACGTTTAGTTAAGGCTGGGATTAGATCCTATGCCACTGGTACCTTCTCCACTGATCTGAACTGGATGAGAAAGAGAGTTCAGAAGATTCTTCTGTGTGATTCCTATGAAAAGAGACAGGACAGTAATGGGCTAGAAACATCCCTACCACATGGCTAGGCAGACTCATGTGCTAAGGGGTGCTCCAGCATGAATGGCAGGACAGTCAACTCATCTCTTCTTCCCAAACACTCCCCAACCTGTCCCACCCACCCAGGAAATGAGAGAAGGGTAGAAGGGAGAGAGCAGGAAAGAGAAAGATGAGGGAAAAGAAGACAGGGTGAGGAAGAGGGACAGCTACACCAGCCACTGCAGTGGCCACAGAAGTTGAGAGATGATGGATGACACAAGAATTGGATAGATGAGATGGGAGGGGAAATGAGGGTTGTCCACATTAAAAGGCAGTAAGAACTGGAGGCGTAGATCAGTGGTAGAATGCTTGCCAGCATGTGTGAGTTCCTGGGTTCAATTCCCAGCACACATACACACATGAAGTATTTTCGGTGCCTTCATAGATCACTAGTAATGTTTTAAACTAGAAATAGCAAGTCAAGAGTAATGCCCAGTCTTATTATGAAGGGGATTCCCTGACAGACCCTGACATAGTGGCTATCAAAGGAAAACCCAGAGAACTTAAGTGGGTACACAGCTGCTGTCAAACTGCACAGCCCCAATCAGGCAGCCTGCTGTGGTAATCCCCAGCCGTCACTTAACCCCCATCCAGCCATAAGTGTAGGATGCCATGTGGAACCCTCTTGTCACTATAAAGAATTTGGAGATCATCAGTTATAACCTTTTTTACATAAAGGAGTACTTATGGCAATCACAAACCTTGCACTACTTGGCACGGCCTGGGGCATACTATCTACCTAAAAGTTGGGTGAAAACAGTCTGTTAGGAGCTTAAAACCCACTCAAAAGTCAGGCACAGTGGCATACAACTCTAGTCTCAGCACTTGGGAGGCTCAGTTGGGAGAATCACTTGAGTTCAAAACCAGTCTGAACAACATGAGCCCCTCCCCATCTGGAAAAAATACACACATAATGGTTTTGTGGAATTTATGCTTTTTCTAGAAAAAGGTTCCAGTCAGTAATAAACTTGTGTTTACAGATAAACTACTGCTTCTCTAGATATGCCTCTTGCTTGGGTTCTGCTCTATAAGCCACCAACCAACTATATTCTCATCCACTGGAGAGAGGCCGTGAGTACAATGGAGTTAGAGGAAAGAGTCAGCACAGTCCATGTTGAGGAAGATTCCTTTATGATGGTGAGTTTGATAATACACAGTTCTAGAGTAGGGCCTCAGCTGCTGGGAGGCAGAAAGGAGCAGGTCTAAGAAGGACCAACCCACACCAGAGCTCATGTCACATGGATGCACACCCCAGGAATGCCCACCCATGCATCTCCCAAAAGCTCCACCCACCCACCAGCTCAGTCAAGAACTATGTTGCTTTAATTCTTTTTTTGGCCACTGAAGACAAAACTCTGCCCTGATGACAGGATTTCAGCACAACAGACTCTTTGCAGTCATGATAGGTAAGGATCTCCAAGCTCTTGATGAGAAACATTCTTTCATTTGACTTCTCTTGCAAGAACCAAAGAGATTTTTTTCTTTGTGACCTGTTGAAGTATTTGTATATACTTTATAAAAACTAACAGTCCATTCTGTGCTCTGTTTCCCTGGAGGGTTTCTCATGATCACCCCTCCTAGCGGGGTTGTGTGTCTGGGAACAAAGAATTAAGACACTTTAAAATAAGCAGTAAAAATTCTAGTGACACTCAGAAGCAGATCATGGGTTCCAGGTGTTGATTTAGGAGCAAGGTGTGGCCCTCTAGAAAGGTCTAGTGGACAGACAGAAGCATCAATCAGCAGGGACACTTCTGGGGAAGGCCAGGGTCACCTGGACTCCCTGGCTATGAGGGATACCACAGCATCTCAGCGCTGAAGACCTGACCTCTGACACTCCACCCGAAGCAGGGTGGTCTCTGCTTAAAATAGGCTGAGACCAAGAACTGAGATTCAACTCCCCAAGGGCCCAGTGGAATTCCCTTCAGGCTGCTCCAGCAGGAGGCACTGGGAGGCTCGCTGTCCAAGCAGCTGGTTGCAGGGAGGGAAAAGGCCAGGAAAAGGAGGTTGTCAAGGCTCTGAGAGAAGCAGCAAAAGGTGACCAGCAAGGTAGTGGCTTTGTAGGGAAGACCTGTTGCCACTGCCCCCATGTATCTGTGCTGGGGACAGACTGGGGTTAGTCTTGAGCCAGCAGCAACCTCAGTATACTCCAAATCCCTTTCATATGTATATACAGAGATATAGAGACAGAGACACTATTTTTAACTGAAATAAATGCAACGGATTCAGGTCATTCCCCTTTGCTGTGAGCTGCTAGGTGCCCTGCCCTGAGGGATTTGTGCCTTCGGGCCTGCCGCCAGGCTCACCCCACCAGGGGAAAGCAATCCCAGGATGACAGGAAAGGAGACACACCACAACAGGTGACCGGGAGGAGGGTCTACCTCACTGAGACTTCTGTTTCTAACCCTGAGAACCTAAGGAATTGTGAAGGACTTGGAGAGGGAGCTGGGGTTAAAGGTCACCGGGCTTTTTATTGCAGTTGAAGCAGACTCTGACAGGATGGTCCCAGCCACGAGAGGGGACAGCCCGGCGGTCGTGGGAGCACTCGTCACAGAAGCCCTGTCCACAGGCGCGGCAGTGGTGCTTGGAGAGCTTGACGCTGAACTCCTTGTGGCAGTTGTGGCAGTGCAGAATTTCGTGGTCAGGCACCCAGTAGGCAGGCCTGGCTGCGTCCTTTACCAGGCCTGCAGCAGGAAGAAATGATGATGGTCAGTACCCTCGAACCCCATACCCTGTGCCATACCCCACCCGGCACACAAAATCATCTACAGTGATTAAAAACAACACAGATGCATGTCCTCCACCCCGACCATGGACTCTTTGGGGCTGGGGCCTAGGCACCAATAACTATTAAGCTCCAGAGATGACCCTAGAGCACAGCTGCACTAAGACCCAGTGAAGGAACTGCAAAGAAGTCTGAATGGACTCTGTAGTAAGGCAGACTTCACTCACTTCCCAGCTCCAATGAGTGCAGGTGAACTTGCAGCTGCAGGTTGAGAGGTTACTTCACTTCTCAGGGGCTTACTCATCTTTAACAACCCCCCTCCATGACTATTATGGGGACAAGAAATAACGTGTCTAATACACTGGCCTGGTGGGTGCTCAGCAAGTACTTGGTGAGCAGAGATGGCAGGCCATCAGTGCCAATGGCAGCCCTTGCCCCTCCCAGGTATCCCTGAGCTTCAAGCCAGGGCAAATCCACCTATTTCTATGCCCTTGATGCAAAAGCTGATCATCTGCTCATTTTGTGGGCTGCATGTTTAAATCTGATCCAAGCCACTGTCATCACTACCCAGCCAGGAATCTTTGGTCTCTCAGTATGCCAAACTACCTCCAGGCCTAGCCAATCCTGCCAATGTCCTCCACCCACTGGCTGTTTTCCCCTCCTCTCCCTCTTCCTACCCCAGCTACAAGTACCCCTCACATCTGCAGCTGGGGAGCAATCTTAAATGCTAAATCAGTAACAGCTTGGTTGGTGCAGTAGATTAAAGACAACCACAAGTTCTCTGACATGCCTTCCATCTTTGATGCCCCTACTCCCTGAATCTAGGCAGGCTCTGCAACTGCAAGAGACTACAGGCCAATTTGCAGCCTAAGCAATTAAAGCCTTTAACTGCCACTTGAGTCCAACTTTACCACTGGAGATAGCCTGTGGAAAGGCCTAGAGAGTACACCAAGAGGAAGGTGGGCTCTGCTGAGCCCAGCTTCCAACTGTCCACTAAGGCACCTGGCACTGTAAGTGACGTTAGCTTGATTCTTGGGTCCAAATGCCATCCTTGAGTATCAGAGTAACTGCAGGCCCTGCCACTGGGAGTAGAATAATTAACCATCCAGACTTCTAGGCCCTCAATTATAAGACAAAAAAATGCTTGTGGACAGGCCTTTACATTTCAAGGTAATGTGTTATGCAGCAATAGCTGGTATAGAAGGATGGCCTCCAGGAATAAACAAGAACAATAAGGGATTTAGCAGAAATAAGCAAATACAAATTTTCATTCCTTGCTGCCCAACTCAATCCAGGTTGGCAAGCTATTGTCAAAATGACAGCCCAGAGCACCTTGAAACCCTCATCCCACATTCACTACACCTAAGAGAGGCATTACAGGGCCCACCTAGTGGTATGTCAATGGCTGTCACCACGGCTCCCAAAGTGTTCTGCACAGCTTCGCCCACCTTCCGAGCAATCAACGTTCCGCCTTCATCATCCACCTGTGCTTCAGTAACATCTGTGGAAATGGAAGTAATAAAAGAAAAGCTGTTGCCTTTTAGTCATTTCCCAAATGAAAAGCTTGTGGCACAGCACTCTGGACTCATATCCCTGGACCACTGTGCTGTCCTACAACGACAGCAAGCATGTGGGCTGTGGGTCAGGTCGCAGATCCTGAAATTGGATGGTATCTGTTGTCCTTTACCTCTGACCCTCTGTAACTATTTTATAAACCTCTTAAAAGTCAGAAAGGCTCTGAGAGCATGACCTAGAACTTTCTCCAGGGAGGCGTTCAGTCTAAGCCGTCATTAACTACAGGCTTTCCAGAACTCAACAGCTGTGTGTATATTCCCTCCCTCAGAAGTACCTCTGCAGCTCAGAGCACGAGCCAGGCTCAACTCCCAAGGAACAGCACCTGCAAACTCTGCTAAGAGCAAGCTGAGAGGATGATGGACCATAGCCAGAGGAGCAACTGCTCAAGAGTGATGTTAGGAACAAGGCTGGGGCAGTGGCAACTCCCTGTAAGTGCAAAGGAGAATGGTTCCCCTCCACCCTTGTAGCTCCTAGGCCCCACGTTACCTAACTGGACATTCCTGGCGTCGTAGCAGTTGTCACACACCCGCACGGGTGCAGGTCCCCAGCCCCGCTCAGGCACTGGCCGGGTTTTGGATGAACAGCTGTCGCAGAAGCCCTCCCCGCAGGCCCGGCAGTGATGCTTGGTGTCATTGTCTTTAAATGATGTTGCACACTTGTTGCAGCTCTGTTTTCAGCCCAAAACAAAACAGAAAGGCAGGAATCCTACACGTCTGCTCAGATGAGAAAGTCAACGAGACCTGGGGAGTAACTAGAAACTCCGAGAGGTAGGGTTTAGCTCAGTTAGAACCCCGACGACTTCTAGTAATACAGTTACGTGAATGTGAAAAGGAGGGGAGAGTAAGTTTCCTGACACAAGGTGTTTGGGCAGAAGACAGGTGCATCCTTGGCTGTGGGTGCCTACTAGAGATTTATGAATCAAGCCAAGGATGACCCTAAATGACCTCTAAAGGGTTCCTTTCTCCAGGTTCTATTTCCAGGATCTCGGACATCTGAGCAACATTCATTGGCCCTCACAAATAAGGAAATGAACCCACCACAAAGAAAATACGTGCAGAATAATGCAAATAGAAATCCATGAGGAAAGACGAAAACGACTACCTCAAAGCTCCTACCCTTTCCAATACTCCCGGAGCTAATGGTACTGGGGGAAAATATTGCACCTCCTTGCTAGAATGAGCTTAGCACATGGCAAAGTGCTTAAGCAGAATAGACTGTGCTAGGGGTACAGGGGCATCCCGCCATACCATACCAGGATCTGTGAGTTGGGCCTCCAGTAAGCAGGGGCGATCTGGTCTGTCAGCCAGGAAGTCACAGCCTTAGTGGGTCCAAGGCTAAGCTCAGACACTGACTGAGCCATGAAGTTCATCCCATCCAACAGGCGCTGGGCAGCATTGTTGTTGTCCTTCAGAAATGCATCAGTCTGAAATGAAAATGCAGGTTCCTGTCGTCTGAGTGGAAGGAGTAAAAGGCAAGAGGGAAATGGGGATTGACCAGCAACCTCTCCGGCCTCTGGGCAGTATCATACCCAGCCAGTTAGCGCTGCTATATTCTTTCAATATGATCCTGAGACCTGATATGCAGCTGTTCAATTCAGGAATCACTACAAAGCCACGCCTTCTCCAGGAAGCCCCCACCCCAGCCTCAGTTAGGAACCCTTCCTCGCAGTTTCTCTACTAGTGGTACATCTCTAGGAATCCTAATTCTGTGTGTAAGTACATAATAATGGATCTGACTCCCTGCTAGACTGTGAACTCTCTGAGAACAAACACCTGTCTTTCTTGAGGAATCTAGTACAATTCTAGGCACGGAGTACTTAAGCTATATTGAAATAAAGAATGAATGAATGAACAAAAAAACAAATGGGCAGATAAACCAAAAGCAAGGTATTCTCCTAATCCCAAGGACTACAAGGAATGTAGCTGAAAGTAAACTATTGTTACTACTGTTTTCTGGAGATAGAAACTATCTCACCACTTTATTTCTCACCTTTTAAATCCATATTAAATTCTTGGGACAGGATGGCCTAGATTATCAAGACCATCAGGCCAAGTGTGTGGGCTCCAGAAAGGAGACCACAGTATACTAACAAATTTCAGTGGGCCTAGAAGGTATGAGGTAAAAAGAGGAGAGGACAAAGTAAGTTTTATGTACCTGTAGGTAAACAGAAAGTTCAAAAGTAAATCTACAGGTAGCACTGGTCTAGCGCTTGGATCTGGAATGTCCCCCAAAGGCCCTATGTTAAAAGCTTGGTCCCAGTTTGGCTTTATTGGGAGGTAGTGGAAACTTTTAAGAGGTAGGGCCTACTGGGTTTTAGGTCATTGGGAGGCATGCCCTTGAAGACGACTATGGGACACTGGTCTCTTTCTCCTTTGATTCCAAGCCATGAGGTAAACAGGCTTCCTTAGCCACACACTCCTGCTGTGATATACTGTACTACCACAGACCAAAAACAACAGGGCCAATGAGTCATGGACTAAAACCTCTAAAACTGTGAGCCAACTTTCCTCTCTGTAATATAGCTGATTATCTCAGGTATTTGTTACAGTAAGGGAAAGCTGCCTAACACAGATTTCTCCCTTAGATAAAATCAGTGATGTTGGGCTTATTGTGATTTATGAATAATTCCAAGTGTGAATAGTGACTTCTTTTGCTTTTATTTATTCTTTGTTTTGAGACAGGGCCTCACTATGTTGCCCAGGCTGCCCACAAACTACTGGGCACGAGTGATCCTCCTGCCTCAGCCTTTTGACAAGAAGCTGGGTGTACAGGTACCATGCTCATACCTCCTAAGCCAACCTGTTTCTCTAGTATCTTGATTTCAAAGTCAAATTAAAAATACTAATTACAATAATCCTACTTCTTAGCCAGGTATGGTGGCTGATAGTACAGGCATATTCTCAGGACTTGGGATGCTGAGGTGGGAGAATCTTAAGTTCAAGGCCAGCCTGGGCCACATAATGAGAACCTGCCTCAAAAAACAACAATGACAAAAAACAAAACAAAACAAAACAAAAAAACCCACTTCTTAGAATATACATTAATAAAATTTCCCACAAAAAAAGAAGTGGCTTGCTTTTTTTGGGGGGTGGTGGGTGGCACTGGGGCTTGAACTTCAGGCCTCACTCTTGCTAGGCAGGCATTCTACCACTTGTGCCACTCCACCGGTCCTCTTTTGTGTTGAGTATGTTTGAGATAGGGTCTCATGAACTATTTGCCTGGGCTGGCTTTGAACCACAATCCTCGTGATCTCTGCCTCCTGAGTACTGAGGATTAACAGGCATGAGCCACCAGTGCCTGGCGAGAAGTAGCTTTCTTACATGAAGATGTTCACTAAACCACATTAACTGATAATTAAAAAAAAAAAATTACAAATAGCATGAATGTCTAAAAATAAGGGACTGGTGACTCAAACTACAGTTTGATTTTAGAACTGGACAAAATATGCTGTGTTATAAGAAAAAGGCAGAAGAATAGCATGTGAATTATAACTGAACCGGGCACGGTGAGGTATGCCTGTTGTCCCAGCTATTGGAAATGCTGGGTCAGGAGGATCACTTGAGCCCAGGAATCTGAGGCCAGCCTGGGCAACACTATGAGGCCCCATCTCAAGATGAATGAATAAACTGTGATTACATCTATAAAAACAAATGCATGCAGAAAATGAGGAGAACATGGAAAAAATGAAGTTTTATTTACCAAAGGAGAATGACAGATACACTTTATTTCATGTAAAGTTGTGTTCCCACTATTTCTTCAAGAAGAAATAAAAACAAAGGGCTGCAACAGGAACAACTGTCCAGATCATGCCTTTCTAAGCTACCACTGTTTCGAAGTTCATGGGTGACCTTCCTTCTAGACAAACTGCACCTCCCCACACACCAGTGACTGAGTGGCCCAGAGAAAGGAGGAGGGAAATCAGTGGATCGGGTCTTACTCCAGGCCACACATGCACAATCTCTGTCCGCACCACCGTATCCACTGGATCTTGGTTTCCAAACCAGTACTGCCGGCTCCTATAGACCACTCCACAGTTAGGACATTCGATCACGTACCTACAGGGAGGCAAATACATAGTGTTACCTGGCCAGGTGCTGGGGAGACAAACTCCAAAAAACCTTTAGCTCTAGTTGTTTAAACTCACCCAGACCAGGCATATTTTGCAAGACCCATCCAGGGAGAGTCGGTGGAAGCAGATGTTTTGGGCACCACGCTGACTTCTTTGCCTCTCTCATAGCAGGCCTGAAACATGGAGCACTCTGCCAGCTCGTTCTAGGTACGCCAGTCCCCAGGCCTCTTCACGTTCCCTGGCCCCACCAACCACACCAGCTGAGGGCTACACACCCTGCATTAGCATATTAGAGATCATGCCTCTAAAGAAACCAGTGAAGGCCTGAATGATAATCAACTGTGTACCCAGCCCAAAAGAAACCTCTAAATCTTACTCCTGTCACAAACAGGAGAAATACCTCAAAACTAGTTTCTTAAAAAGCACTTCTACTTTGAAGAAAAATGGTCAATGTATATGACCCTTACATAAAAGTTTAAATGATAGCTTTAAAAAACATAAACTAAGGAGGCTGGACCCAGTAGTTCAAGCCTATAATCCTGGCTACTTCGGAGGCAGAGATGGGGAAGAAGTGCAACTTGAGGCCACCCCAGGCAAAAAAAAAGTTCACAAGAACCCATCTCAACCGATAAAAAAAAAGTTGAAGGAAAGGCTCAGAGGACTCACCTTGCAGGTATAAACTCGGTTGTCATACTGGTGGGAGTATCTGCACCGGCTCTTGGCTTCATGAGGCACTCCTTCCTTCCCATGATTCATGCTATTCTTACATCCAACCCTGAGAAAATCCCCAAAACAGACAGTGAGATGGCCAAGGAGTCAAGGTCATTTAAACAAAACAGTCTGACCCTGAGCCAGGCACAGGCCTAAACCAGACCTTGGTTACTAACTGGGCCTCCATGCTGAGCAGACAAGAAGGTGTTTCACCCACATGACCATATTTGACACTTGGTAATCAAGAGAATAACAGAGGTAAAGCACCTGTATTGGGAAAACGGAAAAAGGAATCTCTTGGAGAAACAACCTGGCCCTCAGCAGAAATGGAGAAGTGAGAAGACACCAACTTGACCAGAGACAAAACCTAAATAGGTCTCAAGAAACTAAAAATCAAAAAAGGATTGAAATGAAAAGTTAAGCCACATAGTCAGCAAAGATACTAAACAAAAACCAACCCTCAAAATTTGGCAATGCATTAACCGGAGGCTTACATTGAACAAGAAAAACCCAAATGAACAGTGAGCTCTGCCATCCTGACAAAGCAGACTTCATTTCACAGTGATAAAAGGGAAAATTCTGGAAACCCTGGTAGGCTCAGGTAGAAGAGAAAGGCAATGATCCAACAGTGTTTTAGCCCCTCATGCTGGGAGGCAAGGCATACTGGCAACTAACATCCCTCTCCTCTTCCCAAATCATTCTTAGTTCTCCCTAAAATACACTGTATAATTAAAAGCCAAGACCTTTTGACCCAGCTCAGAAGTAGTTCAGTACCCAGCAGGTGGCCTACAGGCCACCATAACAGAAGTTATACCAAAGACCAAAAGGCCACACATAACAGAAGTGAGCTCAGGTCTTTTCCTGTAGATGGGGAAGTGCAGAAGATGAGGCAGTGGTCCTGATATTAACAAAAACAATTCAGTGGTGAAGGCAATTGTGGGGAGTATCTACAGGGCATGGAGACTAAGATCTGACTTGACTGAGAGGGAACCATTAGACATATCACCAGACTATGATGTAATGGCCATTGCAGCTTAAACTAACACACTGATCCTCAAGGTGTGGTTTCAATAAGCAACACCAGCATTGCTTGGGAATTTATTAAAATTGCAAATTCTCAGGTCCTAGCTCAGACATATTGAATCAGAAACTCTGGGGACAGAGCCTGACAATCTGTTTACCACACCCTTCAGGTCTCTCTGATACATGCTAAGATTTGAGAATCATTTGTCTAACTCCTCTGTAATAAAGTGGGGCCCATGGCAGCAGCACAGCACCCTAAAACTTGTCCAAGATGCAGATGAATCTCAGACCTCACCAACACTTATGGATTCAGAATCTACATTTGAACAATTCAAAGTGAGGCATATGCAGGCTAATGTTTGAGAATCACTGCTTTAACTCAATGTTCTCAGCTTACTCTACAGAGAAGACTCATGTGAGGAGCCTTTAAAATATAACAATGTTGAGGTCAGACCCCAGATCCATTAAATGGAGGTGGGGCCTTGGCCTCAATTTTGAATGCTTCCTGGAAAATTCTAATGTGCTCTAATCGTTTGCCCTCATAATAAAAACAATCACCTAGGATCAATACTTACTTACAGTGCTTTGCAAACAGCAAATATTTTAAATATGAATAAATGATTGAAAACTCTGGCTGAAGAAAAAGAAAAGAAGACAGCCCAAAGTCTGCCACAAAAACTGCCCAAACCTGCTTGGTGGTTCACACCTTGAATCCCAGCACCTGGGAGGCAGCGACAGGATTTTGAGTTCAAGGTCAGCCTAGGCTAAGAGACCCTGTATTTAAAAAAAAAAAAAAAAAAAAAAAAACCTGCCCAAACCAGAAACCACTCAACTATGCATCTCTACAAGTTTGGAATCTTCAGGGAATTCTTCATAACCACATACCCAAGAAGCCCTTGCTATATCAAAGTGTGGTCCCCAGGCCACCAGGGATGACCTAGGAACTTGTTAGAAATGTACCATGTCAGGCCTCACCCCTGATCATTTAAATCAGAACTGTGATTTAACAAGACCCAGGGTAACTAGCACCCACACTCATTCTCTAGTCCCCAGTGGGGCGGAGGGGGCGGGGGAGGGACAACACGGCTGGTCTCACTTACCCACAGCTGAGGCACAAGGAGGAGCAGGTGAAGTACTCATCTGGAAAAAAGGAGCTGTGCGCCATCTGGTCATCAGGGATCTCACCGCTAAAGCGGTCGCTCAGTGCCTGCCACAGAGGGAAAGTGATACATGAAGGCCCTCAGCAGAGTGCCTGTGCTAAGCCTTTCCTCTCCTTGCCTTCCTAGGATTGCCACACTGCTAGCCTGTTCCTTACAAGCACAACAATGGAAGAGGCAACCCAGTAACTTCTGTTCATTACCCCAAACTTGACTCAACATGCACCAACCCTCACCACAGGAAACCTTGGAAGGAATCAGCTCATTGCCCAATAGGTCAAAAGTAAGCAAAGTTACTGTTCTCTCCTAATTGCCTTGGAGGTTACAAGTACCTCACACACTCAGTGTTTGATTTACGACCATCACAAGGATGAGACACATGGCTCAATCAGTAGAGCACCTGCTTTGCAAGCACGAAGCCGAGCTTAACCATAACCCCAGTTCCACCATAAAGAAAAAAAGGACCATCACAAATATTGACTGATGCCCATTTCATCATGTGAAGCTGAGACCAAAACACAGAGCCTTAAGAAGGCAGGAGCCAAGAAGTAAGCTGGGAGCTTCCTGGGCTTCTATCTCAGTTCTAACCACAGGTGTTCACTTGGAGTTTACTGGTTACATAACTATCTCAGCACAGAAAACAAATCTGCCAAAAAACAGGGAAGAATTACTAAAATGTTTCAGAGTCATTTACCAACTCTACTGGCCTAAAAGATTAGCAAATGGCCAAAGTAAATGCCAAAAGAAAGATAAAGTGAAAACAAACTGAAAATGTCATGGAGAAAGGTAACTTCCACTTCTAATCATGTTTTTTCAGTCCTTACTTTATATTTGAAGCACTGTTCAGGCTAATTACAGAAATGGGCTTTTCCAGGCTTTAAAAAAACCCTTCAATACATGCTGTTCAGGGTCCCAGTCTGAGGCTGCGAGACACTATACAAGGGAAGAAAAGGGAAAGTAGGCTAAACCAAAAGTCCAAGATGTTACTTCCTCTGGTGAAAGGTAGAAGAAATCTGGAGATGAGATTTGATAAAAAATAGGTTAGGTTTTAAACTCAAGCTCTGAAAAGTCTCACTTTTTTTTTTTTCAGTACTGGAGTTTAAACTCAGGGCCTTCACCTTGAGCCACTCCACCCTTTTTTGTGAAGGGTTTTTTCGAGATAGGGTATCACAAACTATTTGCCCTGGCTGGCTTCGAACCACAATCCTCCTGATCTCTGCCCCCTGAGCAGCTAGAATTACAGGTGTGAGCCACCAGCGCTGAAACGTTTCACTTAATGAGAGCTTCCTTTAAGGTTTCTTTCTGGGCTGGGAGTGCACAAGGCCCTGAGTTCAATCCCCAGCACTGCAAAAATATAAATAAGATAGGTTCCTTTTACTCTTTTCAATGGAGTCTTAACACCAGGAGTTGAAAACCCTTTATAGAAAGGCATGTGACATCAATGCTGAGTCAGGTCAGGTGTAAGATGAGAATAGTAGAGCATTACTCATGTAGAGGCATTCAAATTCAGGTTCTACAAAGATAATTGGCAGACCCATAAAACACTATCAATTAGTGATAGCTGACCAAATAGCAATTTTTGACTTAGACCAACAAAACAATGGCCTCACAAACAATAATGCAAGTAAACGCTGTCCTCCTTGGGAGTAATTCTGTAAAGACTGAGCAAAAACATAAAGATTTTGAGGACTAGAGTTGTGGCTCAGGGGATAGAAAGCTGACTTTGCAAGCACCTGATTTACAAAGCTCTGAGTTCAAACCCCAGTCCCACAGGGGGAAAAAAAAAAACTGCTAGAATAGAAAAACAAAATTTTGAATGAATATATGAATTAATATAATTACAAATAATAATGAGAATAAAGGAAAAAAGGGCATGTTAGCCCATACATCGTTCTCTTCTTTCCTACTTGTAAATGTGACCCATTCTTTAGGGATTTTGTTTGTGTTTTTGTGGTACTAGGAGTTGGATTCAGGGCTTTGCACTTGCTAGACAGGTGCTACCACTTAAGTCATTCCCCTAGCCCCTTTTGCTTTGGTAATTTTAGGGATAGGATCTAGTATTTTTGCCCGGGCTAAACTGAACCAAAAAATCCTATTTATGCTTTCCACACAGCTAGACTCACAGGCATGTACTACCACACACAACTGTTGGTTGAGATGGGACCTCAGTAACTTTTTGCCTGGGCTGTCCTCAAGCCATGATCCTCCCAATCTCTGTCTCTTAAGTAGCTGGGATTACAAGCATGAGCCACAGCACCTGACCCTTCAGAGACTTCACCTCTTTCACTGGAGGCTTTCCAACCACTGCATCCTCAGCCTTCTCTGAAGCCCTGCTGCACTCAGTACCTGAAGTAGGTATTGAGTAAGTAGAAGATAGTGCAAAGCTACCGGTCGATTATATGTATGTTATATCCCAGACTCTGAAAGAAGCTTTCTACTTTTGTATCTTCCTCCAAATTCCACCACAGGTCTTCACAGGCACTCAACCAGGACTTTTAGGAAGATGTACTCCAGTGCCCAGTGACTTCATCCCATGCCCACAGACTCTCTCAAGCTTAAGGCTAACTACTACCTAACCAACCATATTACTGGTAACTTTTAAGACTATTTCTCAAAGAGAATGTGCATAACTAATTATAGGGTTACCTGGTGGGAAAAAGGACCGTCATCTTCCTAATACACTATTAATTAATCAAATGTTTTGAAGGAGTTGCTTTTATATTTTTTAAAAACATGGATATAGTATGGAAGTAAACAGAAAATTTGCATGAATAAAATGTGAAGTGGCTGCGTGTGGTGACTCACACCTGTAATCAAACTATCAGGATGGCAGAGATCAAGAGGATTGATCATAGTTCAAGACCAGTCTGGGCAAGAAGTGAGCCAGATCTCATCTCAACCAATAAAATTGGGTGTGGTGACATGCACCTGTCATCCCAGCTATGTGAGAAACATAAATAGGAAGAACACAGTCCAGGCCAGGCCAGCATGAGCATAAACACAAGACCCTACATGAAAAATAACTAAAGCAAAAAAGAAAAAGAAAGGACTCAAGTGATAGAGCACCTGTCTAGCAAGCACAGGTACCCAGTTCAACCTCCTCTACCAATAAAAATAAATAAATAAATAAAATATGAGATCCATGAAGTTACTTCAGTTTGTAGTTGAGAGCTTTGTACTTTGTGCCTGTTTTCTTTATCCACAGAATGGGCATACCAGTGGCACCTTCCTCAGTAGGTCTCTTCAGACAACATTTTAAAGCTCAGAGGAGGCCACCCGTTAGAGCACCTGGCATTATGGAGAGCTTGGAAGATGGGAGCTGCTGTTCTTAATATCGTTTATAATGATGAGGACTATCTCACTTTCTTCCAAGGCACTCTCCCACCTAATCCAAGTAATGCACAGAATATAAGAACCTCTCTTCTTCCCCCAGTAGCTCACTGGTCTCCATGGCTGATGACACTGCAGGTGAATAGTTATCTGCAAGAAGATGCTTATGTGTCTAATGAGGTGACAAAAAAAAATAAGAGCAAAAAGGATAGCTAGCTAAGGAATGCAGAAGCTGCTATAGAAGATACAAAGGAAACCAAAACCAGCACTGTTTAGCCTCAGAGTTTTGTTTTGTTTTGTTTTGTTTTGAGTACTGGGGTTTGAACTCAGGGCCTACACCTTGAGTCACTCCACCAGCCGTTTTTTTTTTTATGAAGGTTTTTTTGGAGATAGGGTCTTGAGGAACTATTCTGCCCAGGCTGGCTTCAAACAGCAGTCCTCCCGATCTCTGCCTCTTGAGTAGCTAGGACCACAGGCATGAGCCACCAGCACCTGGCTTCAGATATATTTCTTTTAGGCTAACCTAAGTACTTGTTTTCCTAAGGACAAATAATATCAAACTTAGCATGAATTCAGTGAGTTGAATTCGGGGGTGAGGCTACCTCCAATAAATAAACTGGGAGCCCAGTAACACTGACAGCACATTTCTGTTTCAACCCAAGTGGCCCAGATCAATTCTCTGAAAGTTCTTCAGGGAAAGGGTGCATTTTTTAACTCTCTCAGGACTTAGCGTGAAACAATCTGCAGCCTGATTTCCCATGGAACTTAGCTCTTAGAACTCCTATCATTCTCTGCCCTAGGCAAATTAACTGGTAGCCCATGTCCAAGACAACAGGCAACCTCTTATGACATCAGAAAGCAAAGCACTCCTAGACAAACCAGTCTTATCACTTCAGGTGCTGGTCACCCACTCTCTTACGTGTTGGATAAGGGAACAAGCATATCAGTTCTTTCACAAGCACAATCTGACAATAAAGAACCAGACCTCAACAAGCTTCAGGAAGTCTTATAAGAACCAAGAGGATGTGAATAACAGTAACTATTAAAATTTTCTGGTGTTAGCATATTTTAGACACAAAGATAGGAAACAATTGTCCTCCTTCCTCTATAATCTGATTTGCTTTTTCTAGTGTAGACATAACCTACCACCTGATCCATATCTTTTGCCAGTTCAAAATTTCCAGACCTGGGATGTAGCTCAGTAGTAGAGCATGCATGAGGCTCTGGGTTCAATCCCCAGCACCATCAAAAAAAAGGAAAAGCCAAACCTCACATCATTCCATGATTTCTTGGGCTTTCCTCCTCCTGAGGTCCCAAAGCTGAGAGGGAAATTCAGAAAAGGGCCTCTCCTGAGAGTGCCTACAAAAGTATTTGAAGCAAGCCTGGAGACCTGGTTGCCTGGAAACCAGATGATCTTGAACTTTAGTTGCCTTGGCAACAGTATGGCTCCTTCTATTGTACCTAGCAGAGGAATTCCTGAATCAAATGGACATTCTTCTGCAATCAATGTTACCACCCCCTAACAAACATCATAGCTTTATAAATACTTAATAGGTGCTTCCTAATGTGATGGAATTGGAGCCAGAGTTCTTTAGCAATCAGAAGCTAAAGAATGTATTACATGAAACCTACATGAATTCAAACTTTAAAATGGTTCTTCCAGTTGTTCAGAACTGTAAGTAGAAACAACCATAATTAATATTCAATTTCTCTATTCAAT